CAATTTCCACACTCTCTTTCCACATGGCATAATTCGTCCCAGTCAGAGTAGGAATACCAGCAATTTGAGCAGATACATTATTAGCATTAGCAACTGTATATTAAACAAACAAATAACATGCTTAGCAACTATGTCATATCGGAGGAAAATACGTGCATGTATGACATAAATAATTTGAAACATTGGTGGGCCCATTAACAAAATACCTAACACAACATCAATATTTAATCTTTGGACTAAAATATTAACTTGTAAGTGGTACTCTCAACGTAGTAATCAAATATTGAAAATAAATCATGTCAAACAATACCCTTCCTTTGGGCCGGTCATTGCTTACATGGAAAACTTTATAACAATCACATATTTATTACCACATGTATATTAATTATCCAGCCAAATAACAATTTTCCTTTGGGCCAATCATTATTCGCATAAATTACAAATATACTCATCTTTATACCTTAAAATAAATTAATTTTCACAACAGAGGTTACTTTGGCAACTATATTATGTCAATCAATTTATTTTAAAATACAAGACAATTAAGTGCAAACATAATAAAACAGTTTGGATCTTGATATAATTTTACTCCATCGAAACTAATGTTTCAAACAATCTACACTTAATCTCAATGGGAAATATTATTTATTTCTTAATAGCCCAACTAACAAACAAAATCCTCCGAAAGCCATAACATAATCTTTATTGAACGAAAGAAATTATCTTAAACAAAAAAAAAACTTCTTTTCCGTTCACAACAACGAATAACAATAATAAAATATAACAATGGTAGTAATCAATTTCACCAAAAAAAAGGTACGTAATGAATACATAAGAATCCAATATATAATATTGTTCTAGACATATAAAAGATCCAGATTATGAATATCACAAAATATATATAAACAATTTATACAATATATGGCTGTCAAACTTGAGTTCTAGAGAAACGAAAAAAGGATAATAATCACGAATCTAAAGAACAATAAACGGCGGCAGAAATCTCAAACCGTTGATATCCATTAAAAAAATTCATCCATTGAAATTGTTTCACACGATTACTCTAATCCAAAAAAAAGTTTTGGATATTCATTCGAATCATTGGCGACAGAATAAAAAAACCTTTTAAATCCCCATAGCAAAACTATTCACCTCACGAAACAATTATACTACAAAAAACTAATTGTTTATAATAATTCAATGTGAAAACGTGGCTCTGATACCACTTGTTGAATCAAAGATTATCACAATGAATTATTAAGAACATATGAATAAGAACACACGTACCCGTCTTCATTAGTTAGGCTTGAGTATGAAACGTAGATCTGAAATTACGGCTTTCCTCAACGCAAAATCCTTGATGTTCTTCCAATGGGGAGAGAATGAACGTATTGATTTTGGTGTCTGGAAACCATACTAGTCGTCTTTATATAGAGTTGTAATTAGGGTTCCCATTAAACCCTAATTATAACCTAATGGGCTTCCTCTCATTAAGTTCATACCAAATTGGGTTCTAATGGGCTCTCTTTAATTAATCACATAATTAGTTCATTACTAAAATAGCGTAATATAATTATATAATAACATGTAAGCCCACAATTATTATTGGATTTATAAATAAATCCCAACAATTCAAACTTTTAACGAGCTACTCAGCCTCGAATTCGTTTATCTCGAGCTTGAGTCTATCTCGAACACGAACTAAATCTTGTTTGATATCAATATTTGACTCGGCTTGTTCAAAAGTTCAATTAAGTTTTTCGAGTTAAGCCGAACCGAACCACTAGAACACATACCTTTTTCGAGTCAAACATGTTCATATATTCTTAATACAATCAAAATATAATAATTACTAAGCTCCAGTCTCTAAAGTTGATCTCATGTATAATTTTTAACTCAAATTTGTTAAACAAGCACCAAGCTCGAATAATGAATATTTGAGCTCGAGCTTGAGCATTACTTTCGAAAAGTTATTCGAGCTGAAGTCTGATATTATTTTCTCGAGCCTAGCTCGAACAACCTACTATTCGACTCGACCTAGCTCGTTAACAACCCTAGCTCAGACTACATCCATTTGTGAGAATGTTATTACGCCTAACTATAGATAGATATTTGAGAGCGGTTAAGGTCGGATTGATTCGAGACCGATTGGTCAAGACTAGTTAAATAGACCGCTTACAAAGACGGAATGGAGCATATCCTTTAAGATAGGCATACCAATAATGATCTTTAGGGCATTTTACGCCATTTTTGTTATACTCAAATCCGACCCTTATCCATTATCTTTCATTTTAACTTGTTTACGAGATTGTAAGAAATGAACTTGTGCACCCTCCAATGACGTTAGGATACTTTCTACATTGGAGAGGAAGACAGGAACCAAGGCCGTCTGACTCTCAATCACATGTAACTGATGCTAAAAGATCACATATTATATTAGATGTTCTTGTGTTTCTTATTTTGACCTTAGAGGCAGGGTTTCATATAGTTGCCCTAATCAACCTTTTTTTTGTCCACATATCAAACACAAGAAAAATAGTTAATATATAACTAAAAAAAGAGTTTATATTGAAAAAAAATACATATTTTACAACCATCCTTGTTTTTTCTTCTTGAGACCGAAGCAATTGGAGGTTGTGATAGACTAGTTTACCAATTTTACCCATCTCCACATGTAATTATTCAAACAAAGCCTTTAATTGGTACAAACGAGGACTGTGTGAGGATAAAAAGTTAAAGTAAAAGAGTAAGAAGAGATCTAGCCTCTTGTTCACTTTTAATCTCACCCACTCCATAAATTGCATTTAATACAGAAATAGATCCGGCACATCTCGATGCATCTGATAAGTGTTGATCCTCAAATAAGATTGATCCAATGATGGAGAAGGATTCTCACTATAACTTTCATTCTCACCAGAACCTAACCCGTGAGTATTAATGGGCACATTTAAAGCATCTTCGATAAATTCTCAATAATTTCTTCATAATGGGGAATTTAAAGTTAAATAGGTTCAATACTAAATAGGTTCAATATATCAATAAATTTTATATGGAATAAGAATATATTCAACTTGATGAATAACCACATAATTCAACAACCAAACCAAACGAAACGAAATGAGTATATCCCACCAGGAGGTGGAGTTATTTACCAAAATTCAGAGAGCGGAAACAAGTGATATTTCTTTGACGAAAACTCCAAATGCAAAATATTCATGTAAGATGCTATGAAACACAATTATGAAAATCTACAAAAGGAATAATCAAGTATCCAAACATTGGATGAACGATAACGAATTAGAGATTCCATTTAGTCTTTGTGAGAGTAGGAATCAACAGGGGGGAGGAACTTGGCATATCGTTCTGACTTTGCGCCTGATTTGTGATCATAGTACTCAACAACCGCAGCTCCAGCTAATGCTGCCAGTGTGAGAGCCTGTGCATGCAACCTAGTAAATCAAAACAACCAACCAAAAGCAGCATTAAAATGGGACAATATTAAAAAAAATTTGCTCACTAAATGAAATAAAGGTTTTATCATGAACAATTCGGTGCTCTCCAGCTAGTCCAGGGTTATACAACTTCTACATCAGTCATATACAAATCGTCATCCCAATAGCACCGTAAATGTCTCCTGACATGTTCTAGTATATGAAATTCGTATGCAATCAAGTTTTTCATCGTCATCAACACTAAAAGAATGTGGAGCTGTAGTGATAATCTAACACTCTTCACTCTCTCATTAGAAGGCTCTAAAACAACAAAAGTAATATAATATGAGGATTAAACATCAGAGCAAGTAGACCCATAAAGCCTAAAGGATCTGGCATTATTAGAAGAGTTTTTCCCAATTATAAACCATAAAGTGACCCACATCCAATCTGACTTCACATGTAATATCATCAGCATAAAAGGTGAAACTGGCGAAATTTTCAACTAATTGGAGCCCATAAACTGAATTCTATTCTTCTATGTTCTTCCGTATTTGGGGAATATAAATTAAAAAGTCAGGCAATATCATCTTTTTATCATAATCTTGTAACAACCTGTTGAATTTCTACTTGCTGTGTAGAAAACTAGAAATGACGTTAGAGTTTACTTAAAGAAGGATATGATGTAGAAGATACTAGCTCACAAAGTAATTGTGTAGGCACTCAAACCAACATCAAATAATACCAAAAAAGATGGAACGCTAGAGGAGACTTGTAAAATACATATACACTTCATTCGATTGTTTCTTAGGTAACTTATATATATGTGACTCTGAGGGAAAAGAATCAAAAGATAGTTTTTTATAGACATTTCTAACTCGAGTGTTGGACTGAACGGATCATGGTGAGTTGAGCTTATGGGCATTAGAGACTCAACATCCATTTTAGATCAAGGTTTGACTTCTGGGAGGCCTTTTTGATTTATTTTGACAATCTGTAGATACATCTAAATCTGTACAAGTAAAAGTTTTGAAAAATATTTTGCTTCTAATTAAAGGTTTTTCATTGAAGACAACACTGATCATAGAACAACACAGAAATTCGATGTATGGGTGTCTCGGGTCCAACATATAAAATTGTTCTAGCACAGCCTCATAAAGCATCCCCATCTCTCCTTGCAGCTGCAAAGACTGGCTATGGACTAGTCATTTGGCTGGAGGACCACCAATAACAAATGGTGAACCACCTCAAGCAGTTGATAATAGCTATGGCCATATATTCAGTGCCAATCCAGTACATATTCCAGTTTCTGAGTCAGTTCAGATACATCAACCTTTAGATAACATGTATGGGAATCACCATCCAGAATTGCAGAAATTCTCAAGCATGGGAAGAGCAACTGATTCTAAACCAAAGGAGAAAAACTCGAGTCAACCAATTATAAGAACTTCAAGTCCACCCATTGGGATTCTAGAAAGTCAGATTAATTCAAACTCTCATCAACCAGGATATATGCAAGCTAAGTCAATTCAAGGACTCCCAGGAGCAAGCAATCTTACTCTCTTATTCCTAATGTTTCTTCAAGTGGATCAAACCCAATCACATTCCTGTTGGCCATGATTATTTGTGGAATACCAGCAATAACGTCACTAGCTACCAAGGCCATCATCCACAGTCAGTAAGGCCCAGTAATCCCTCAGGAACCCCCACACTTGCTCCAGGAAACTTCTTTTCACCTAATCCTCATCTTCGTACTCCTCATTTTATGCCTCCCATGCCTGATGGATACAGCACTACTTCTGCTTCCCTGACATATGTTCCTGATATTGGTAAGCTTAACTTTTCTCATAGCCCTGGAAGAGAACACATTCCTCCAATGAATCAACCATAGAGTGGACAGCTGAAACCAAATTCCATCGAATCTGCAAATCATGCTACTCAAACGGTCCAAAAATAGGATATAGTATGCCCAATAAGTCTCCGTTTTACAAGGATACTATGGACAAATATCCAGCTACTGGTCCAGACTTCCAACAGTCATCTTCTTCAGCATTGGACACACAAAGTGCTGCTGCTACTGGTTGTGGTGTGTGGGGCACACCAGGATGCCCAAAACCTTCAGAATATGTCCAAGGCCTTAAAGGGGTGATTTCACTTGCCTTGAGCACACCGAAAAAATGAAAAAATTATGCCTACTGAAGCAAACATAACTAATTGCATTTGTTATGGGAATCCCAAGCAACGCGATAATAATGTTAAGAAGGCCGTAGAGAGTGCCGTCAAGCAGCAGCTGGTAGTGAAACAGAATCTAGGTACACTGCCGTTTTTTGTTAGTAAGAATAAGAAATTATGGAAGTACAATTCGATGGTCTCTGGTCTCAACATGTTAGGTTATAGTATTGCTTTTTTGTATATGATAGCAATTAGTAAAGGAAATCTTTGTTTTTGTTCCCCGACTATGTAGTCAAATGTTTTACTTGGATCGTAAACAATTATGTTCACAAGCTAGAGCTGCAACACAATACTAGACGTTTAACATTTAGTGTAGCTCAATCGGCAAGGTCTTGGGTTTGCTTTTTACAGATCACTTGTTCAAGCCCCCGTAGGGTGATTGGAGGGTTTACCTAGCCATTAACTTCAGAGTCTTAAGGCTTTAGTTGAGGTGCGTACAGGATGCCTGGATACCCATGAATGACAATAATAGACTTTTGTCCTTGCTGACAGGAGAGATCAAGATATGTTAGAGAAAAACAAAAAACTCTCATATGCTCATATGAAGTTCGAAACTGTTGGAAGATCTTGATGAGCTGTGTTACATCAATGATTGTTTCTAATGGTATTTCCTATTTGTATGCCACAAACATTTTCAAGGACCAGATCCGGTACAAGACCAATTACATTTTGACCGGCTAAAAACTGGAAATGTTTAATGATCGGTTATAACCATATGGTCCCCATTTAATACAATAAGGAGGCAAATAGAGAATAGAGGGGATTCGAGATTGACATTTGGGGAAGTAGTGAAGAGAGATTTGCTTCAGCTGGCACAAGCCTAATGGATGGCCTTGCATAGTTGTGCTCATTCAGCCCCCACCTTTGGAATTTCAAGTCTTTATATTTGGTTTTAGGTTATGCTCGTTTTACAATTTCTTTTCATTCATCGTTAGCCTTCTGCAACTAGTCTAAGATAAAATGTTTTGTTACTGTTGTTGTATATACCAAGGGCAGGAGAACCAAGTCGTTTTATCAAAGATGTCCATTCATTCTTACTGGTCTGAAAAATGAATCAGACCATCAGTTTATGCTATGATATAACCGAATTAATCCAAAAGCCCCTCTATTATACTACCTGGGTACCTCCAACAATTAAACATTGGACAACAAGTGCAAGTGCAGCATACAGGTTATTATAGATTATTACCATATGCTCCATGCATCAAGGAACAAGGAAAGGTTACTTAATGTAAAAGGGGGTCAGGATGGTCCAACATAGATAACCCAACATGCAACATAGACAATCCATTCAATATCCATCTGATTAAGAACACGTAGACTTAAAAAAATGAGATAGCATGCTTGATAAAGCATGAGTTCTAATATCATAATTGTACTAACATAACCAGGGATCAAGATCAAGATAAATTTCCAACTCAACTCAAATTTGATTTCAATTGTAGAACCATGATATAAACAAAGCAAGAGACTAAAACGGCTATCACAAATCCTATTGAATTCAACTTCTGATTCAAAAATCAGTTTAGAATGAAAAGTTCCAACATAGATAAGCCAATATCCATTTGGTTAAGAACCAGAAGTACTAACATAATCAGGGACAACGATCATATGATTTTCCAACAAAACTCAAAATGGATTTAATTGTAGAACCATACTTTCAACAAAGTAAAGCAGATCAAATGGCTATCTCAAATCCTATTGAAATCAGCTTCTGATTTGAAAATCAATTTAGAATGAAAAATCCTAAGTGATTTGTAAGATGGAAATCGCCAGACGTACTAGTATTTTTAATAATCCTCTAATGTATAATATATTACCATCTTAAAGCGTATCAAAATTAGGGCAGAATTGATAAGAAACTAAGAAAACAACTTGTTATCGCTGTAATCGAAAATGACCAAAACCACAAGGTTAACTATTACTGAAAACAAGTATGATAAATGAATAATACCTTGCGTGAATGATCCTAACGCTGGTTTTCATGCCGGGCTGAGACCAATTGTAAGCGATCGATCCAGCAATACCGCTCAACCATAAAGTCCCTATCATTTCCCCAAACCCGACCCAAGAAAAATCATCAAATCTGCAATAAGAATGACAAGGAAAACACAAGAACATAATACAAATTACATAAGCGAAGAATGAAATTACCAACAGCGCGAAGCTTATGCTCAACGATCCATTCCCGCATGCTTTGAAAATTAGACTTAGCGTTAGAATCCGACATGTTTGCTGAGATTGTAAGATGGAAGGGAAAAGGTTGGAGATGGTAAGGAAAAAGGTTGGGGAAGGGGTATACGTAAATTAGTAAATAGAGGAAACCGAAAAGAAAGAGAAAAACGAATTTGGTACCTCCAACGAAACGGTGGGCGGGCGGGCGGGCAGATTTAAGAAATTAGTAAACTACAGTTTTGGTCCTTGTGGTTTACACTCAACTACAAATAACATCCCTAAATTTCGGTGGCCAAAAACCGGTCTCGGGCCGGTCCCAATCAGTCCTAACCTTTCTCATAACCAGCCATAACCAGTCCCAGCATAACCGGTCCCGGTTGAAAATGATAGGACCGGTCAAGGTACTTCATAATCGGTTATGGGCCGCCGGTCCCGTTCCCAACCGGTCCTAGCATTAAAAAATAAGATTTTTTTTTTATTTTTTTAATGATATATATCTTTAATACATTATAAAATTTACAATTGGGTCACTCAAATACACTTTAAAAATGCGTTTTAAAATAATTAAAATTACGTTTTCTTATAAAAATACATTATAAAATTATTTAAAAATACATTTATTTATAAAATTATTTGAATTTTCGGGAAGGTTCATAGTCGGTCCCATAACCGATCCCGGTCTCGGTCGGTCCCGGTTTTCGGTCCCATAACTGGTCCTTACCGGTCCCGGTCCCGGGCCGGTCCTTTGTCGGTCCCGAGCCGGGCCGGGCCGATTTGGCCATCTCTAAGTTCAAGTAATAGTTATTGTGATTTGCACTTTGCTTTGAATATCGTCTTTTTAGTTAACTTGTTAAAATTTATTTGTTAAGCAGGGGTATTTTTGTTCTTTTACTCTCTTTTTTGTTTTTAGATTGTTAAATTAATGTGTTATATTTTAACTATAATTAATAAATTATATATGTATAATAAACACGATCACCGACCTGTTACTAGTAGCCTTTTCTCGCCACAAACTTTGGCCGCCATCTGCATCTTCATCCACCTTGGTAATAGTTACAAGATGCCATGTTTTGACAAAAACTACGTCATGCAAACCTTACGAGTCTTACAAGGGAGATGGGTGACACCCCAACGAGTGACGACGCCTTCATAACCTTTACTCTTGTTTATACTATTGATGTCATTCTTCTCGATTGATATGGAGATGGAGATGGTGACCTAGATGGTTACCAAGATGGTCGTGAGAAGAGACCAATGGTTTTAAAGTTGTAGGTGTTGTTGGTGGGGGAGAGAGAGTTGAATATCGACGGTAGAATGAGATGGTTTAACGTAATAGAATACATACCAGACCGTCGTGTTGCGCATTGGGACTGGCTTTGAGTTTGGATCGTCGAAGTTTGGGGAAGGGTGATGTTGGGGACGAAAACCAACGAGAGCAACGATAGATAAGGAACACTAGCGTGAAAAAGGGAGAGAGGGAGACAGAGGTGGAATGTTGAGGTCGTCGGGGAGAAGATAATCGAGAAAAGGGAACGGCCGTGAACTTAAAGAGGGGGTCTCGATGGGTCATGGGGAATCTAAAAAGATTGGAATTTTAGATAAAAACATAATATAAAATAAATAAATAATATAAATAGGAAAAAGGGAAAATGTTCATTTAAGAAGTGGTAAGTATTTGAGAGGTAAAAAAGTAATCTTAGTCTTTCATCTAGTCAACATTCATGGCTTCGATTATGAAGCACCAGATAGTTTCTTGCATTGGTATGCGGAAGATAGATGGATGGTTTTGTAACTTTTATAAATAAACGGCAAACGAGTTCATATGCATACTCGTGTGATTCATATATGAACTATATCTTTATATGTGGATCAGTTAATTAGCTCATATGTGAATCACATTGGTTCATATATGAATTAGTTAATTAGTTCATATGTGAATCATAAGGGTTCATATGTGAATCAGTTAATTAGTTCATATCTGAATCATAAGGGTTCATATGTGAATTAGTTAATTAGTTCATATGTGAATTGGTTAAAATAATTCATATGTGAATTACACGCATTCACATATGAACATATAGTTCATATATGAATCTAACTGGTTCACATATGAACTCATTTGCAGCTTATTTGTAAAAGTTATGAAATTACCCCCTCTATTTTTCGTATATCCGTAAATTTTAACCAGTCAAATCTGTGGCATTCTGTCATTTCGGAGTTTTAGGTTAGCATTTTTTTTAGATCCTATATTTAGAATTATAAATTTATTAGGATCTACCCATGGTGGTTAGAGTACATCTGACTTAGTACACATAATTCTTAGCTTGGAAGATCCGCCTCAGCAGGCAAATGATAAAGTTAACTTATGTAATGCCAAATATTATAGAATCGTTCCAAATAAAACAAAGTTGATATTATAAACTTTTAAAATTAAAAGACAAAAGTCTTATTTGAATGTCCACTTGATTTATCAAAAGATGGAGTTTTGTGTTTAATAATGTCATTCTATTTATGTTGGGTAAATATTTTAGTGGGCTTATTCTTATAAAAAAAATATAAGTTTTATTTAGTTTGGGCCTTTAGAGGCCAACCCATTTATTTCATTAAAATCCTTGTATAAATACCCTTCATCTTTTGAAAACTCTCATTTTCTTTATCGCCAACTTGAAACTGTTCATATCTCTAAACTCTCTCTAAGATCAATCACTCTCCAGCCGAATCCACCTTCAAGCAAGTCTTTAGAAATTCTCTCTCTCAATCTTGAAGATCCTTCAAGAATATAAGAAAGAGGTACGATACTAGTTATTTTATTTTTGTAAAATATCATGAGACTGTATCTTCTTTCTTCCACATCTCGGCCATATAGTTGAATTTTTCTGGAGAACCAAAAAGGAGAGATTATTCATCGAAAACATGAAAATGTTTTCAAAGAGGATAATAATCTATGATCCATGTTCCTTGAACTCCAAAGTAGGAAGGGGAAACCCATTGTATGTGAAGTTTAAGCA